ACTCGCGCTTATTTCATTCAAAGAGGACAAGGAAACATCACGGCAATTTCGCTATTTTTTTAAAGCTTTAGATTTGTATTTCGAGATGCAAAATAATATCAAAATAAGAAGTGATGACTTATTTTGATACATGACAACATAATTTTACACCTAAATAGAAGTCATTCTAACAAATTTAATCAGCTCTTGGAATAGAGGTACAAAACATTTCATGGTGCAATAACTGAGGAGGTATTTTTAGTTTATGGATGTATTTTGTCCAGTGGAATATTCTAAAAATAAACATTTCCTTTGAATTTACTCTTGGACTTTTGTAAATCATAGAATGATCGGAATTTCAACAACAGCAACTATTTTAGGCAAATGTTTCTATCGATTGTAATATAATCACCTGCAATATATACCGAAACAGTATATAAGAACATAAAAAACATACATTGTATCCGTAATACATTACGTTATCAAAAAATAAAACAATGTCAGTATATAAAGGCACAAAACAATATTATTTTTTTAAAAAAATCTAAATAAAGCTAATTTATTATTTTCTATTGAATGTATGTATCTATACTGCACTGTATGTACATAGCCCCATAATAATATCACTGCAAACTCATTTTACATATTCACGGAAATCATAAATGTGCGAGTATTCCAACAAAATAGCTTGTGTAATTATATTAAGGAAATAGCTCTTGTGAATAAAATAAACATTGTTATGCTACATAAACAGCACTAAATAATTTCCAAATGCTGGGCATATTTTTGTAACATCTATTCCTGTGACCAGTGCATTGGATATATCGTATTTTACATGCTTTGGATAGCCAGTGTATTTGTCGACAAGTTGAAAAATAAAAAAAACATCCATTTGTATTCCTGCATGTCCAAATGCCTTTGCTTGAATCAGGTCCAGGCGTATTAAAAGATGAAGATTACTTTTTTCGTATAAATAAAGATTGTTATTTTTGCGTCGGTATTATGTGAATGACTCAGTCGCATCATATATTAAATATTACAGTAAACCGAATAATCTTATGCCTAGTTAGATATTTAAAAATACTTTTATTCGAATGCACCACACTCTCAAAATATATACGTGTACTTTAGTGGAACAAGTACATTGAGATCACAACTACCCAAGATCCTCCACTGAAATCTAATCCCTTATTTCTATTGACTTTTAATTTAAACAATAAATGCAAACTCGGATTTCTTGTTTCTAGAGCGAAGCGGGTTTGAATATATTTAGCCTCACCATTTACATTCCTAAAATGTAGAAATACATATAAGCAGTTGTTCCAAAAAAATGAAACTTGCAGTGTAAAAATGCTACACATATGCAATAAATTATGTATCGTTTAAAACTAATGGACATCAACGCATCAGCAGGGCGAAAGTGTTGAACAGCGAAAGGAAGGAAACAACTCATCAACGGCCCAAAATGTGTTGAACAGTGAATCGAAGCAAAATAATCCGAACAAAGAATCCCTCTCAGCCATACATTAGTATCAGTAAGCATTTCTTACAATTAGAAACTTCGAATATAAGTTAATACATCGGTGATTTAATGGATCGATTATAACTGTGTGTGTATATTTTACAAATATTTTGGTTATTGGGTATAGTTTCCAAAATATCAACGTAACGCTTGCAAACTTTAATGTATCTTCGCCTGTTCTTTATCCCAACGTTTCTAGATTTTGTTTCATAACATTATTCTGCATAGTAAAATATATATGATGAGAAGTGGTTTCCATTGCTCGCTTAATAATATTTTATTTCATGCGAATCGATGAACATCGCATTCCGTTCTAAAGTAATAAAGTTCTGTTTCTTGAAAAATAAACCAGTTGGCCTTTACTGTGTGTAAACTTCCCCAATCTAACAACGTTACCAATAAAACATATTGTGTGCTATTGTATAACATAAATTCAATGAACCAAAATACAATAACGTCCGTTAATATGTCATGACGTATATTGTACTAACAAAGTACAACATATTTTATTTACTTACTGTAAATTGAGATTCATTCCGCGTTATGTACATATAGAACAGAATGATTGCAGGAACTGACGGAAGAATCGTGAGTGCCCATACAACCCGCTTTTTATTTATTTTCCAGTTTCTGCTGAAGCAAAATAATCAGTCTAGTTAATTGCAGTTGACCTTCATATTTCAACAATTTAATAAGAAATTACTCAAGGAATCCCCTGAAACAATTCGCCAATCACTGACCATGTGCACCCTCTTGCATTTAGTACACTTTATCTCAAAGCTAAAAGACACAACGATGCATTGAAAATGCAATGAAACCTCCTCACTGGGTTAACTTCACCATGAGAATAACTGCTGAATATATGCAAACAAAATTCTACCATTTCGACAAATGACTTCCCCAATCCAACAATATTACCAATAAAAATTACAACATGACTTATTTCATTCCATCTCCACCGAATATAGAAAACTTGCAATGTATCTGAAATCGTTTTATTAAAAACCTAATTTGGTCATTAGACTAATGTTGATTGGAGAAAATATCAATGTTTCTCTTTAAGTATTTTACAGACAATATTCTGTCAGTTTTGCCTCAAGACAATTTGACTTTATGATTGGTTCGTAAACATCATGTGATATAAGTATAGTTTATTGCCTCTACATGTTGACACATCAACGTTCTCGTTGCAATAGACAACACCTGGATCAAGGGTAAGACTGCGCTAAAAAGAGACAAGCATTAATAAAAGTGGAATCCGCTTGCATCAATTCTTAAGCATGGAGACAAAAAAAATCTACGTGCAATTTGATCGTTCAAAGCACGCAGTTATTTAAAATGGAAATAAACTGCGAAGGGTCTACACCGCGAATATGCCAATTGAATGCATCTGTAACTCTAAACACGTTAAGGCGACAGATAACTGCACCATTGTTGGTTATTAGAAATTTACAGAGACCGTGGCCAGATCAAGATCCTCAGTTTCACTTCTGCCTCTTTCCAGAGAGATTTTAGAAAATTCCATGTCGGGTTCAGGTCTGCTTCTTCTCATGTATTTAAAATGGATGTGGAATGCATTGGTTATAAGCACAAAAAGGTAATCCACAATTCTTATCAGAACAGTTTATCTCGGTTCCAGTTGATGTTCACTAATTAAATGGAAGAATCACCTCAAGCGATTAGTTGTGATTTGTTAAATAATTTTAAATGTGGGCATTTGTGACAGATAGACAGACAGACGGACGGACAACAACAACAAATTACATTTGTATAGCGCCCTTCACGTCCCGAGGACGTCCCAAGGCTATGAAATCAGACACACAGATAGACAGACAGAAAGCTAGATACGCAGGGAGGCAGACAGACAGACATAATTTCTCTTTCATTCCATATATTCGTGTTCACAGTAAAGCTTTTTCACATTAATGTAACAATTATTTAGGATTCAGCATTACTGGAAATTACACAATTATAGATTTCATTAAAACTTCCCCCAAGAATCATTTTCATTCCGTATAGATTCGAAATTACATAATACAATTGCTATTGCAGTGATAACAAGATAACATTTCGTTCAAGTTGGTTTATTGACAAAACAGCAAGATTTGGTATTCATATCCAGACATATGCTAAATTCCCATATGCAACAGAAGATGGCGCACTTGCTCTACAAATGCAGTTCATGACTATTCATGAGCTGTTAAAAGTCAAGGTCAAAGACTATCTGTTTTCGTCAAGGTCAAGGTTTAAACCCTCCACCCCCTCCCCCATCGCCCTGCCCAGCCCCCAACCCCCCACTCCCCCCACCCCCTCAAAAAAAATCTGGAGAGAGTAGATTTCCAGTTACAATATCGATATTTTAACTGGTTTCGTTTAAACTTTAGGCGTATTTTTCGAAATATGGGCGTTCACCCTCTTGCAAAACGTGATTTTATTATACCAGAGAAATACTTGTTTGAGGCAAGGTATTTTTCTCAATTAACCACGGTAGGAAAGAGTTTTGACAAACCTTAAACTTCGTAAATTTCTTGGTTATTTATGCTCCTGGGTGAGAAAACATGTTTTCAATGTACTTTAAACAAAGAACCTGGTTTAAATCAAGACGAAAAAAGTGGCCAGTCACTTACATTTCCATATTAAAGGTTCGAAGGTAGCGCCGTATTTCTTTTTTTAAAAAAAATGCGAAGCTATTGCTTATGAAGACTTTTTATTGTGAAATCATTTGTTTGTAATGCAAGTAATTCACTAGATGAGAAAAGACAAATTGATATACAGGTTAAACAGTTGCATAATATTAATGCAAGACATTTTCAAATTTCATTATTTAATTTTGTTAAGATAATTGGTAAATATTAACTAAGCAGTAGGGGTGCATGCAAGCATAATAATTCACTGTTTTTAAATACAACTGGACAGGTTTTGTTAGCTTTGTAAAGGAATCTGTGCGCCTTTAGTCTGCGTGGATACTAATGTTATGGTATTAGTGAGACGAGTAATATAACTTGCAAACAGAAAAGGTAAGATTTAGATCATTTATACAGGGTCACGTTCAGGTTTGCAGATATATTTTTCCTTCCCAATGTAGAAAATGGTGAACTAGCTATTTAATTAAGAGGACGTGGATGCTCCTAAATATATACATAAAATGAAAGCCAGAATGCTAGAATAGTAAGTATTTACTTTTCCATATACATTGCTATTTAGAATATATTCTTCCTTCTACCTGTACATATATCTTTAGAGATAGCGCATCCCTTCCGAAGAAAATGCAGTGCGTAAACATACATTAATATACATTTCACGATACATCCCATGTTTACCTGAGAAGAAATTAGCATGCACTCCAGCTTTTATTAACCAGAAAGTTTCTTTCAATGATACACATTTTTTAGTTACGTGCTTTGATGATGTTTAATGTGAAGGTACGTATTAATCAAATAGGAACATTTAATCTTTTTAAATTGTATATTCTATATTAACTAAACATGAATTGCGCATGTTTGCTACAGTTAAAAAGAAACAACCCTAGTTTCAAGATTAAAGCGGTTTGTTTTTACTCTGAGCGGATGTTAGTCCGTTTCTAACATATTCTTTGTACAATGTCCACCCTACATATTTTGCTTGTGTATTTCTGTTAAAAGCAATGTGCAGACAGAAAGGGGGGGAAAATCTAGCTTCAAAGGAATGAGCTGAGGTGTTTTTTTTTCTCTCTCCAGGCACAGATCAGTTCATTTATACTTTCAAAATAAGTCCGGAATTTACTGGAAGTATTCACTAACTATTACTTTTCAGTTTAGTGAGGACTTTCTTTTCTTTGACTCGTCTATTTTGAAACCAAATAGTGACTTGTCTCTCAGAGAGATTTGTTGATGCAGATATCCTCCTTCGTTTGTCCTTGGTAATGAATTTATTGGTAGCATATTCCCTCTCAAGTTCTTTCAACTGCACTTTTGTATAAGGGACTCTTTTCTTTCTCCCACGCCGAAAAGAGCTCGCATCTGAAGGATGCGAAACGACGTCTGCAAGAAGAAAACACGCCCATTGTTATGCACAGCGTTTAGCCTTCACTCCCCAAAAAATAACAAAAGGTTACAACGTTCAACCAGCCGAGTCAAGTTCAGGAGCAAAGCATAACATATAAAACAAGATTACAAAATGCACAGCAAACGTTCGAACCACAATGCAAGTGATCTGAAATTGCATTTAAACAGCAATCCAACAACGCAAATCATTAAACTTAAAATGCGTAAAATCTAGATGAACAAATACACATTGTATTTATTGTTAAACTGTATTTGGGTATTTCAAAATCGTGTATCTTAAAAAATATTGTACTTTATATCATAGCGTTGCCCGGCGATCGTTGCAATGCTTGGTTGATAGTATTTAATATCTTTTATCCCCAATATTATTAAAAGAATACTAATTGAAAGCGTATATTTGCTGTGCCTACCTGGCAATGTCGATTTCCAGAGGTGGGGAGCCTGCGGTTGCTCTTTTGAACAGCAGACTTGACTGTTCCACCCATTAGTAATTGCCCAGGGCTGGTAGCTTTCCATGGGTAGTAATGGTTCATGTCTCGGTTCTCCCGGGGCGCTGATGGTGGGGACCACAGGTACATCTAAATAGCTGGGCATCGGTTGGTATGGCCCCGCGTAGCCCTGGTAAAAAGCGAACTCCTTGGCTCTGGATGTGAATTCCTCGCCGGCAGACGTGTCCATGTACTTGTCGGCTGGATACCCAGACAAGGTGGAGGGCTGAGTGCAGGACTTGATGCTGCTATGGTGGCTCATTCGGCAAGGGTAGTAACTGCTCCCAAAGTATCCATACGGAAGAGAAGCACTGGACGAAGTTTGAGCAGGACAAGGGCTACACTGTTTGACAGGTTCAGCAATGCCAGAGGCTGGCACTTCACTCGACGGGTAGGCAGAGCTCGGGGCTAAGGATGCTGGATGGGCCATCAAATTCCTGCACTGGTTTGCCGTGAAATTCCCTCCCGAAAATCCATCCATGTTTTTATTAATTTCATCCAAGCTGTTGTCGTAGACGAACATCACCGTGTCGATCCAGCGGGGATGAAGTATCACTGACGCTGTCATATCACGTCCAACATTGAGACTAGTGGCCGTTTTAAAAGCCCCGAGACTGAAAAGAGATACTGAATCTCTTCGACTTACCAACATTGACGCGCCAACGTCGCTGACACCCGCCCTGGCCATTGGCTGTCAGCAAAACCACGGGATATGCAAAGCAGATGATAAACATCTGAGGAATAAAAAGGTAGATACTCCATTAGTCAAATTGAGCAACATTTTTGGGGCGATTTACGTAAACGGGCTATCTGAATAAAATGTGCTGATTAAAATAACAAAATGCCAACAGTGGACAAAAATAGGACAGATGTTGGTGGACATCGCAAAGGTGGGTGTAAGCCATGGTGCAAAACCAGATAAGCTGCAAGCAGAATTGTGTACGTGCATAAGCAGGAGTATATTATTGTGCTTCTGTTATTACTTTCTACTAATTGACTAATGCAAATAGTTTTGCGCTATATAACATAAAATATGCATTGCAATAATGGTCAGTTGTGCATTCGGGGCTGGGACAAGTGCTTTTTAAATGATCATGTCTGTATCCGGGTGTAATTTTCATAGGCATCCTTACAATCCATCTCGTTTTATAAACTGAATTTCTTATATAAAAATCTCTCTTTTTCAAAACAATTGTTGATTGAGCAAAATTCGATACTATTGCAAAGAACTGAACTTCATCGGCTAAGCTAATAAGAAAGCAACACAAATAACAACAACGTCCTATGACACAAAGGAAACATCTTTGTGATCTATCCATTGCTTCATGGCAAAACTTCATGAACCAAATAATAAAGCAATAAGATTTGTCCGATATTATCCTGAAAGCCACATTTCGAAATATATAATTATCGAGAAAACGCCTCTTTCCATTTTAAACATTGCTAAGAGTAAATAACAAAACAGCTATTGTAGTCAAATCATTTTATAAATTCATGCTATATTTATACTGAAGTCAGTATGCTTTTTAATCCCATTGAGCGAATATAAATGCTGGCGTGTTGTAATGTTATCGAAACTGCAGTTACTCAAATCAAGAGACAAACAGACACACGTAATCTTTGTTTACTCTTCCCCAGCGATATTAAATATTAAATATTTCAGCCCTCTTGCATACCCTGCTAATGCTGTCAATTCGTGTACCCTTGTATGTTATTTTAGATCCCTGGAATTCATTGTGTATCATTGTGTGTGTTTCGTGAGTTTCTGGCACCCATAAATACTCGAAAGGATGGATGAAATGTGAAAATCTGACACATTGTTAAATGGATTAAACGTACAACTATTATTTATTTTATAATATATGGCACGCTGTTAAATATGTCAAAGGATACTTAAAATATCAACAATTTCATAACTCTATTTCGAGTTAGCATGTTGCGATTTGGTGGACAGTAAGAGGAACCCAATTTCAGCTATGTAAAGCATTGAAATTTGGTTGTGTGCACTTTGCATTTAAATGTGGTGGTAATGCATCCTGTGAGCAAAAATGTATATTTCACAAGGACGTGAAGCTGACAGTATTCAGTTAACATGGAAAGCTACAAAGAGTGTTTTTTTAAAAAAAAAAACAGTCATCTTTCCATCATTGATAAGACTTGGATGACGTGAAACTAGGTCTATATATAAGGCGCCTCTAAGTGTAGTTCAAGTACATGGTTGTTTGTCCTATTTCCTGGCGTGAAACCTGAATCGTTTAGTGGTGTAACTGTTTTGGTAATAATTGCATTTCCTATTACTATTTTACTACATAAAAATATATTTTTCTCTTTCTTTTTATCTCTGGTATGCGTTGTATTCCACGATTAATTTATTGCATTAATCTTTTCTTTCTGCATGTCGCGCATTATTCTAATACAAGCGTCGTTTAGTCATTTGGAAATTTCCGATCTGCAAATCTATGAGGGAAACAGTTGTGTTTGCAGCTGGAAGGTGTGGTGGTTGGAAACATTTTGTCGGTTCTTATGCTGACAGCCGATATTTAAAGAGGGAGACGCTATAATTCGAATTACGTTGGATGTAAAATTTCTCTGTTGACAACTACGCCATAAAAATAGTGAGGGAACGAGAGAGAGAGATAGAGAGAGAGAGAGAGAGAGAGAGCGAGAGAGAGAGAGAGAGAAAGAGAGAGAGAAACACACTTTCCCCAGCGTATCCAGGAATGAATTGCTTCTACCGGAACCAGCTGAAGGTGTTGGCGGTGTTTTTCATATATTACACTTGTGCAAATATAATGAATTCATTTCAAAATAAACAACAGTGCATCAAAAATATACAAAGGGCGAAAAGAGATATGCCATATCGGAAAAATCGAATAGATTTAAATGGTAATGTCTTGGATTTCTGAGCAATGTACACAGCAGCAATCAGTATCCGGCGAGTGTTCCCTTATTTTCTTATGTTTCTCACTGTCTCTCCAGTATTGTCTTCATCTTCTAGTTATCAATGGGTCGACATTCTTAGTCTGGGTTTAGTTTGTGTCTCGGGACCCTCACAAATATCACTTATTAGAATGCGCTTTTTTTTTGCAGTTAATATTTGACTGGGAACGTTTCCGCGTACTTTTCCGTTGCAATTATAAATAAAGTGGCAATCATCATTGTATGCCAAGGACTGTCCGCTGCTAACGTTTTCGTTGTTAAAATGTCCAGCTAACCGACTGAAAAGGGAAGGGTCAGCGGCACAGCATCGTGGTATTTTCAGATTACACTGTAAATTGTTTTTTTTCAGTCCAGCTGTAGAACACGCGGCCTTAAGTTCTTCTCTCTGAATTGAAAGAACATCGCCCCTTCCCCCAATACAACTTAAATTGGAACAGAAATATGAGTGCATACTCCAATTATAGGTGCAATCTCCGATGCCTTACTTTGCAGAAGTCTTGTCTTGTTACTTCGGGTGATGTATGTTCTAATCACAGTTTTGTACTTATGGAAAGGGTCACATTCAGCTACAAGATGGCAGCAACCAAATGGGCAGCTCTTTTACATACGGGTTAGACACGGCTAAAGGCCAAGGTCAAGTTGAAAGTTGTAGTCTCGCCAATCTGAGTGCTGTCATTCAGGCGTTGATGACCCTGTCTGAATTCTTATAAAGGCAAGTCGTGAGAATTGACTCATTTGTTCGCATTTTGTTTGTTTTCTTTTGTTTTCCACTCGGAATCATCCCAAAGAAAAAAAGCCCCCCCCCCAACCCTCCACCCCAACCTCCGCCGACTATATCGTCTCCCTTTCCAGGCGGTTTCAGCACGGTTGGCGAAAGGATGTGAAATGAATGCAGTCGCCAAATTATGCAGGGTTGCATCCGGTTTAAACGCTTTGTTTACACAAGTTCTTGTTTTGAACTTGCTGTTTATCCTAGGGGTAGCTGTGTGTTGCTTCAAAAGGTAGGCGCCTTCCGTACAATACAATGTTGATTTCTGATGTGCCATTCACCAATATATTGTGTGTCCAATTCTCGTGTCAGGTGTTACTTCCGATGAATATTGCAAACTCTTCTTCAGATACTGTGCGTATATGACTAAATGAAAAGTTTGCATTGTCTCGTCGTGCGGAAAATAAACGACTTACTGTACAAGCTGTAGTTCAAAGCGCTGTCCAATAATTCCTGAATCCAATTGTTTTGGGCACATTGGAACTGAATTTAAGTCGAGTTTTTGAGATGTAATGCAGAATAAACTAAATTCGAACATTTCATGCTATCCGAAATAAAAAGTCGATCGATAAGATAAAACTATTTGGACAATTATCGACATATTAATCCATGTCCTGAGAACATACATGCTTGTTTTGTGTTTTGCCTTCTTGGTATGTTAACCCAATACATCAGTACCACCTAAAGAGGTTCGAGTATTGCGTTTCGTGTGCTTTATTGGAAAAACGTAAGAGTTAATGTACGGACACTTTTGAGATCAAGGATATTTTTGGCAATTTTCACCAAATGGAACCCAGAAGGTTGTGCATTTTATTTCCCAAATTCTTCTTTCGAATTGAAACAAATGTTCACCTCCCTCATTGCGCATCCAATCCAGTTCAACATCTCAAAATAAATGAGGCTTCGTGATGCTTGAGGGCCAATATGTCTGAAATATATTCCAATATAAATATGTATTACCTTGTCCACAAACATACTACAACGCGAACGTGTGTTCTGTATATTTGAAGCAATCATTTCAGCAGCAACAAAACATTATATTTTAGATGTATTTATGTATGCTACAATAATTGGTTTCCATACCCTTGTGGATCGTTATTCAGTTACAAACTTAAATCATGATATACCATGAGTCTAAACGCGATTTCGTAAATTGTTATTATTAATGTGCTGTTTCAAACTATTTCAGATTATACAATGCTATTGTGCATCGATGATCTTGCTCTCAAAATCTCAGACAAATTAAATGGATTGCTTTCTACTGTGAGACCAAGAAACCACTAAAATAGAAATAATCACGACTCCAGAAATGTACTTATAATGTGAACCAAAATATTTGTTTGGGGTTTTCCAGCAATTGTTTCCATCACCAATCACTGAATTCTTCAACAAATATTTGCGGATAATGTAGGTCAAACTTAATGACAATTCCACCAAAACTAATCACATAACTTTAATATGTAATATCTCTTCTGGTTTTCTGATTTTCTGTCGCATAACTCATTTGAAAAATCACTTCATTTATATTGCAGCATAATGTGTGCCTGTATTTACAGTTGTAGATGTTTTCAAAATCCTAGCTTTATGAGACGCAAATCAGCGTAGCGAACGAAAATAATAGTAACTAAATTTTTCTTATGTTTCTTTTTTATGTTATCATTAGTTATTTTGCAAGTGTTTCTAGAATTTAGACAAAACGCTCTGCGATGCACTTTGATTGATTGTTGAGCATACCGTCATCATAATAATAATTTTCTTTAATATTTCTTATGGATTTATTTAGAATATTTGTCCATGCGGCTAGAAATTTAAAAAAACAACGTTTCTCCATGAACTAACAAATATTCAATGTTGTGCCCTGAAACATTTTGGAATA